AGTTCTGTTCTATCACACACATCTAGAGCACTTGAATCTAGTTTTTAATTTACTTACCAGCATGATTATGGCTTTAGTCTAGCAGCTGGCCGAGTAATGTGGTTTCACTTGTTAATTGTCTGTGTTGTTTGTTATATTTCGTTCGAGTCCTTAATTATTACATTGAACTCTTCTCGTCTGCAAATTAACTAACTGCAACGGCTTGAATGCTCCAACGACTTTCACGCAACTAAACAGCACAGCAACCTCAGCTGTGGCAATAGCGGCAATAACAACAATAACTACAACAATTCTACGGCAGACAACACATACGCCACGCAAATTGTTTTTGGCCTGATCAGCAGATGCGAATCCAAATCGTATCGAATGAATTTAGTTTTGTGTTTAACTTGTTTGGTTAGCTTCTTGACGCGACTGCAGCGCTTGAGTTGTGCCCGTTGACTGGCAGTTGGCCATGGTCTTGGCCAGCAGGTAAAGTCTGGACACCCCAGCTCGACGTGCAGTTGGACCAAGCAAAATTTTTGTCTCTCACACAGACCAGTCTCTGTGATACGCGCTTCTTCAACGTGTTTGCTTTTGTGACTCTCGCGCTCTCAGCTACAATTTCGTTTTCAACACTTTCTTCACAATTTTCCCCTAAATGGCAGTAGCAGCAGCAACAGCAGCAGCAGCAGACGATCGCACCAAAAATGCCGACTCAGTGCTGTCTCTACGGCTCCCCTGGCATTTGCCTCTGCACAGCTCCCGCTCGACTCTTTGTTGACTCTATTACGAATAATCGTGCAAGGGGCTAGAGCATAAAAGTGTTTTGCGAACGTGACAACAAACAAGGCGCTGACGTCACAGTCTCATGGCTGGCTGGGATCGACGCACCACGAGTCGTCTTTGACCCACCCAACCACTGAGCCACCCGACCACAAGTCAACCATTTGCCCTGCCAATGCTAAAGCTTTCACGTTGCACGTATTTACTTTGACACATGTGGCATAAACATTTTCTTACTTCTTGAGGCATAACAACTATCGTTCTTTGTTTGATTTTACTACTCATAACAGTTTTACTATGCTAGATGAATTATGGAGCAATAATCTCATAATATTTTATTATGTTATAAATCATTTTTCTTAGTCAGCTAATATATTTGTATTCGTATTACTATTGATTCTTTTATTATAAATTATATAGAAGGAAATTGTATACAACTTTTTATGGTTTTAAATACATTTTTAAAAACTTTTAGAAAGTTTTTGTTAATCTTTAAAAAAATGTATTAAAATTTTTATTTTATTATTCATTTTGATTTATGTATTTTGAATACTTTTGTTTTTCATTAAGCAGACATTATTTTTATTTTCATACTACACCTATTACTATATTTATTTTCTAAGCCTCTTTATTAATAAAAGTCAAAATATATAAATAATATATATTCTTTGATTTTGATTATAAGGAATAGCTACGCGTGAAATTTCTTTTGTCATGTTTATTGAGTAGAATTTGATAGCTGAACTTACAAAGAGCTGGTAGCTGACTTCCTGTTAGCTACCAAGGCGACCTACAATAGTGATTTAAAAACCATAAAAATCACTTTGACAGACCTACTGTTTCTAACAAAAACCTGCTCCCAAGCCAATTATAATTAAAGCTATACAAAATAAGCTAAAACAATAGTTAAAAGGCCATAAAAAAACTAGCTGTTAAGACGACCAGCTATTTACATGTCAACTTATACATCAAAAGCAAGAACAGAAAGTGATGAAAATACTTTGAGGATTATCCAAAGCAAGACTATTTCTTCCATGAATGGATATTAATAAAATTTATCTATTCAAAATACAAAAAAATCTTCATCTTTGCCTCGTCTTTTATCATACTTTGCTCATCTCCTCATTCTAACCAATAAAAGTGCCAATAGTTTTAAGAGCATCAATGGTTCGTCTGGCTGAACATTTTCATTTCAGCATTTCTTGTTTTGTATGTAACCCTAACTCATGTTTGCCGGCTGCCTTTTACCCGCTCTTTTGTGACTGTTTTGACCCATTTCTCCACTAAACCAATCACTCTCTCACTCGCTCTGTCGCTCGCTAATTCTCTCTCTCTCTCTCTCTCTCTTTCACGCTCTCTGTTTTTCGGTTTCTCTGCATCTCTCTGTCTCTTGTGGCTTGCCATTGCGCCCCATTCACCTGGCTTTGCTCACAGCAACTGCTTTGCATGATAAAAGTTCGCATAGTAGCGGTTGTTGATAAGCAAAGGTTATTTATGCGAGTGCAGCTCCTGTGATGTAAAGAATTTTTAAATTTTGATTTTTGATTTCTGGCACATTATGCCCATTCACAGACAATAGCTTACGGTTAACTCGAACTTTCATATAGATTTTGCCCAAGAATCATGTCAACCCCAAATGTGGGTTAAAAGTCAAGAAACTGACTTTGAGCACCTTTTTCTAGATAACGTTCAAGTCGAAGTGCAGACGTACCTGGATGTCAAGTTCAGTGCTCGTTCAAACAATTTGTTTAGCTTGCCTATTAGCCATTACATAATGGTACCCAACTGACAGGCGAGTGTGAAATCCGTTAGGCACATGTGGTAATCGCAGCGCGGCGCACTGCCAGACCTAATGTCATGGCCAGCGCTGTAGCAGAAGTCGCGGTGTCAACGACTCCACGTAGCACGCGGTCTCAGCTCTGCAACTCAGTCAGCGATTTGCTTGCATGGCATTGTTTGTTTTGCTTTCGTATGCTCTGAAATGTGTCTAAAGAGCCGTCAAAAATGCCACACTGGGCTCATCGCGAAACATGATTTCCTAACGGTCTTTGCGCCCATGTCATATGTTGTTATCAAAATTACATCACTAATGATTATATCATTAGCATTTTGACGTTTTACTTCTAACTGTTGGTAAATTGGTTTTTCGAAAGGGTTCTTAAGTAGTAGATAGTTCGATACTCGTTTGTGGAATGGGCAAGAGAGTATATTGATTTTGTGCAATGTGCGTTATAGAGAGTCGCTTGGAAACTTGAAAATCGTCTAATAATGGATGTATATTTTTTTGATATGACCAGTTTTTGTTTCACAATCGAGAATTAGTAAAAAGAAGTGTGGAATTATGGGATATACTTTTATGTATATGGTGGAACTTTTCCAGTTTGGTTACATTCCATTCTAATTGTTAAATTTTAACCGCGCCCAATTCCCGAGTTCCCGGTGAGCTGCTGCTCTACACGAATACTTTCTCTTTCAGAATAGCATTTTCTTCCCTATACTAAAGATATTATTTCTTCTCTTATCTTCCCTACAAATCTATATCTAACGATCCTTTCCGCATGGCCTAAATAGCCATCTCACTCTCACTTAGCACTGCCCTTCTCTTTTTTCGCCGCACTTTAAAATTCTCAGTTGTTTTTCCGTTTAACCTAAACTTTATTAAACAAAATAACATAAATCTCTAATTTCACAACGAGCAACAAACTATAATTAATTCATTGAAATACACACTAATTACTTTTTCCCGTAGTTACTTCGATACGCACTCGCATAGTATGTCAGCCAATTGGGCGTATTTAGTGTGGCATAGGGATTGTAGATGTTGTTGTTGTAGTAAGTAGGATACAGATATTGACCAATAACATAGGGCCAAATGCGTATGCTAACATCGTTGTAATAGGTGTTCGGTGTGTTATAATAATAGGGCGATGCCGTCGAATAGTAATACCCATTCAGACTAGAGAACGTAGGACTGGGCGTATTATAGGGATTGTAGGGCGTATAGTACTGAGCAGCAGCTAACTACAAAGCAGAAAAAGAACATGTATTTTAAATAATTTATAAAATGAAGTAAACATTAAGACTTACGGCAAACAGAGCTAGAATTAGTAGGCAACTGATTCTATGAGCCATTTTATATTTCTGTTACTTAATAATGATATAAGTTTCAGTATTATATAATATTATCCAATTGGTTCTTGCTTGTTTTAGTTCAGTTTTCAGACTAACTCTGCTGTAGGGTGCTCAATGGCATTTTATAAGTCATGAACCGGGAAGCTGTAATTTCACGCACTGACGCCTTCAGAGGGCTGTGTTGTTTTTTTACAGAATGTTTTCTAATTTTTCCTTTTTTTATTATAAAATGTGAGTATTTTTATGCTGTGAACTTCAAGTGAAAAGTGTAGAGAGGGTATCTGACTTTTAAAAAAATTTATGATCCTCTGTTTCGCAAATTTTTGTTATATAAAAAAAAATGTCCGTTCGTGTCTCAGACTGTAAAAGTATTTAAAGATTCCATAAAGAATATATATGTACACATATATACATATTAGAATTTCAATATTGCTAAGTTCATTTAGCCTTCTCTCCATTATATTATTCATACTTAGTACTATATATTCATACTTCATCTGTAAAGTCCATATTTGTTTCCATTACAATACAATCTTTAGATTCTTATAGATCCATTCGTAGCCATCAAAACAAAATAGGAAATATACTAGTATATACATATATTCATTTCATATGATATATACATTCATGATCGCAGTCATGTCTATTTGTCTACGTATCTCTTTCCTTGTGTACAATAGCATCTTTTTCCATCTACAATTTGAGCTTAGACGTACTTCTTCCCAGGATCGATCAAGATAATGATTACTAAGATCACGATGCTTGAATCTTATTATTATATTGCTCATCATAAAAATCGTAATGAATCCTAAGAAAAATCATACACTTTTCAGTGTATTATCCCTGTCAGTATTGGCCAAAACACTCTTACCATTTCAATACCTTTGTTGTTTCGTCATTGAACTTGACTCATCGGGGTTGTTTACCCATTAAAAGTCGCCTGACGGTGACTCCCACAGCAAAAAACAAAAACAAAAGCAAAAGCAAAAACTATACTAGGTATAAAGTAATTTTGACATTTTGTTATAAGTGCAAAACATTTTGTCAAATCGACGCAAATTGGTAAAAAGGAATATACAATTATTTGATTTGCGAGTATTTTATATATTTTACATTTCATGGACGCAATTTGAGCTTCATTTATTATCAGTTTTTTTTTTTTTTTTTTTTTTTTTTTTTTTTGTTTATTCAACTTACAAACAATTACATTATTTGTAAACTATTTATTGACGACCTTCGTTAGTTGTTAGTTGACGGCCTTCTATATACATTATTTACACGATGCTCGGCGCTCGATGGCCCCAAGCTCGATTCTTCAAATTAGACTACATACAATTGTACACAAAACGTAACTCAACAAAATTGTCAACAAATCTCTTAAATTAGTTAACATGTTTATTCATATGGAAACATATTCTTTTCCATTGCGTCAATCCATTCCTGCCTATTCTTCCTCTTCTTCTTGCTAGATCCATTTAATTTAATTAGTATTTTGCTCTTTCTCAAAGACAATAAATATTTAATTGATTGCATTCAATAGTCCTCATCGTCTTCATCTGGCGGATCTGTCGCATATGTCAACTCGTTCAGATAGAACCATTTCTGAAATGAATCAATTTTATAAATATCTTCTGTTTTGTGATTGCTTAAGTGTCTAGAACTAACCGGCGATTCTGTGCAATTGAAATTGTAGTCCCAATCACATATTCTGTATTCCTGATTAAAGCTTGTCTCATTGGCGCACAAATGTGGTATTCGATTGCCCTCCTCGTCGCACATGTGAAATATCTGCCATTAAATGTAAAATATTAAAATATTACTATTTATTTTATATCTATTTATATTTAACAATATTATATTTTATAATATTTCAAATTTTTTCATAATATATTTGTTAAATTTGGATATTTTCATTTAAATCTGTTGACATAGCATTTAATATATTTTGTTGCCTACTTTTAGGCAGTTTCATAAAATCGTTTGAACTTTAAGCGTAAGCTCTCTTATTTGTCTGTCTCTTTCACACTCACTCACCTGACAATTGTACTCCATGTCCGCATAGAAGCCCACCGAACGCCTTTTGCAATCGAAGGAGAATGTTATATTATCTAAATTCGTCCATTCCTTCGTCTTGTGATTTTGAAATACTGGACTGGCTGGTTCCTGGGCATCGATGGCGACCAGCAATATATGAGCTGTATAGAAAAAATGTGTAGATTATAAGTCTGCATATGTTTATATCTATCAATTATTTGTTCTGAATTTCTCAGAATTTCGATTCAGTCATCTATACATCAACATCTTCTCTATCGACTCTTTTCTTTTATAGGGTATTTGCTCTATACTCTACCCTATACATATATTAATCTTTCTCCTTGTTCTTACTGCTCTTCACACACTTATTATGTGGCTCACGCGTGCCATCGATTCGGCCTCAAAGTAATCGTCTAATCAACGCGCTTAGCATTCAATTATTCTGCCAACTGGTGTGTCGATCCCTGCTCGTTGTCTCTTGTCGTGTTGTCGGCTCGATTATTGGGGCCATAGTACTCACCTAGTAAAACGCCGGAAAGCCATAAAATTCTATAACTGTAAACCATTTTTGTGGTGCTGCACATTTTGGCCAGTGTTTTGGTTTGGCTCGTTTCGCTGCTCTCGCTCTCTCAATCTCGATGTCCACTGCAATGCTTGCAAACGTCGTTACGCTCTCTCTCTCTCACTCACACACACACACACAGACTGACACACGTGCTACGCGTCCATTTAGCTGGCAGTTTTTCAATTAGGAAGCGTGGCTTTGTTTATGGCAGCTGGCACATGGCTAAAATGAAAAGTAAAAAAATCAAATAAGATAAACATTGATTTGTTGTGGCAACTGGAAACGACTGTTAATTGTTAATTGGCGCCCAATTTTGGCTTGAGCCAGCACACATACACAGACACACATATACATACAAGCAGAAATTCATTAACTGCATTACAACATCTTCAACAGAGACGAAGTCGGCGACAGAGACACAGACGGAAACGGAGACGGCGACGGCGACGAAGGCAGCTTCCATCTCTATTTCTTTACATGGTCAAGCCAAACCCGCGATTTGTTTCTTTTTTTGGAATTGAGTCATCAAAAGTCGAGCCAAAATTTGGAGCTGCTGACATCATCATTGATCCGCACCCGCATAACAACAGGATATAGTTAGGAATATAGGTATATATATATGTCTAGACACTGACCCACTTAGGGCTGTGCCAAACTGTCTGTCAATTCTATACATCAATCATTTGACAGCGACTGTCAAATTAACACACAAACACACAAAGAAGCAGGAAAAGACAAAGGCACCATTTGAAATGCCATTAAAAAACAATAATTCAATGGCAGATCCAATCAGAAAATAGAATTTATATATGCAAATTGATTTGATTTGATTTTTATTTTGTTTGTTTCTTTTTTCTTTTTTTTCAGGCGGCGCGAGTAAAAGAAAGAAACGACCTTGCTCACGTTTGTTGTTGCTGTTGTTGTTGTAGTTGTTATTGTCGTCTGGGCTAACTCCAATTAATGTGTCAAGCGGACTGGCGGACTGGCAGCCAGGCAGCCAGGCAGTCAGGCAAACATGCAGCCACAGGTCGGCCTCCAGACGAACGACCCGATTGAGCGATTAGCCAGCCAGCCGCTGATTGCATTTTATATATGTACATATGTATATGTATTTCATTTTATTGCCGTGCGACGATCTTTCTCTTTTATTGCGCTGTATTCTTTTTGCCCAAAACAAATCCTTGACATTTTCTTGAAATTTATGTCTGGACATATACGGCGATTAACATCGCGCTTAAGTCAGCCCGGTCGGCGCAGACAAATAATCGTAAATTGTTTTGCAACTCCCCCGCATTTCCAACTAATTTTGTCGGCCACGGGAACAGAGTCCCCAACAACAGCGACAACTCCAATCCCAACTCCAGCTCCAGCTCCAGCTCCAGAGACTGCCACAAAATGAATGATATGCAGATTTGTTGTTGCGCTTGCTCAACACTAAAGGTCAGGCAGACGAGTCAACTATGCCAGGCAGCCGCAGCAGAGGCAACAGCAGCTGCAGAGTTAAACAAAGAGGCGCCTGCAAGATGACACAGCAGCCCAATGTCTGCGACCATTGGCTGTTTTGTCTTTCACCTTTTCCGTTGACCATGGCGCCTGACTCCCCGCTCAATTATGATCTTTAGCCCCCTGCCTCTGCCCCAGCCCCTGCCTGCTACGCAGCCAAACTGATGTAGCGATTGTCAGAGCCAAAGCTTTTAAGCGTGCGTTAAAATTTCCGCAAAAAATGCGCGTCTTATTATATGTAGAGTAGTGCCAAGGAGTCTATTGAATATATGACTTGTTTGGCTAAATTGTATTATTATGCTATCAAATGAGGTCAAATATAGTTGTGGCCATTTCAGTTGGACTACTCAATTAATAGTTGATGTTTATCCTAAATTTTCTTGTTTTGAAATTCACATAGCCTTACGGCTGAAATGGAGTATACTGTTAGTGTTTAATTCATATATGCATATAGCACAAATTTATGTATATACTAAAGATATTACTCTCAGAACCAGAATCTTTGTTTATTTTGGTCTAACTTTATTAACACAGATGTGTTATTAATAGATAAGTTCTTAACACAGTTCCCACTAATGCAAAACCACTCAAAATAGTTGCAAAAGCAACTTAATGTTATGATAGCTACTATGGATATCTTAATGAATTTTACGATCTAAGCGGCTCTTCAATTTGTATATTTATAACACAATGTCTTGCATGCGTTTGAGTCTATGCTTGGCTAAAAGATTATCTAAGACTTTTAAACATACTTAACATTTCTTAGTGGACTTTACGATCAAATTATTTGGTCAAGTTGGTGATTCGTCAAAGATTATCTTACTCCAAAATGTTTTTGGCTTGCGGTTGATCCAGATCAGAGCCTAGCATTACCAACATCAGTGTATGAAGATTCTATCTAAAGGTTATCGTACCGGTACTCTTATTCTTATACTCTTTTTCTTATATTCTTCCTAGGCATTATCATCGTAGGCTCTCTTAAATTTTATAATCAGGGCTTATCGGCTGCTTGCTAAGGCCATCTCTATCTGCGGAGCAGTAGCACCATAAATAATTATCCACTTTCTCAGCTCATTTCATATTCCAGGCATTCCCCTCTCTCTCTCCCTCTTTCTCCTTCTTCTAGGCCGCCCCCTCCAGAGCATTTACACTTCGTTATGCTAAGCATCGCCTAAGTTTTCTATTAAATATTTTTCTGTTTTTTTTTTTTTCTTGGTTTTAATGTGCAGCGGCGTCACTTTTGACATTTTCTGACAAGCGTGAGAAGCGACTGCAAAAAAAAACTACTCCAACAACAACAACAACAGCTACAGCTGAGTCTCTTGAGCGCGGGGGTAAACCATCCATGACTGAGCCATCAATTTGCTTGGCTGCCTTGCTGCGTTGCGAGCGGTTCTCAACTTACATAAGATGCGAGTAAATCCCAAACATCAAACATAGCCATGTGCAAGACCTTGTTGATGTCTTATTTTGTTTTTTTATAGGTTTTTTGCATTCCAAGCGCATGCGCGACATTTTTTTGGAAAGTTTATTTTGGATTTCTGTTGGTTCGGAAGTTTGCTGGCGTTGCTTTGCGAAACATCGCACTAATTTGTTAATTTTCGACGCGTAACCGAAGGCGCAATGTTTGATGGCATTTTTTCTTTGTTTTGGACTCTATAATTTATGCAAATTGCAAATTATTTCAAAAGCAACACTAACTACGACAAACTTTATTCATATGTAGAGATATATCCACAAATTTTTGTTTTTCATCAAAGAAAATGCAAGTGGAAAGCTGAGAAAAGTGTCGTTTTTTTTATTGTTGTTGTTGTTGTTATGTTTTCGGTGTCTCTGGTTGCAGCGGAAGCAGCACTAATTGGCGGAACTGCTCGCCAGCAACAACAACAACAGCAACGACAGCAACAATACAGGTGAAAAAATTGAAAGAAAAGCAGAAAAAAAATGTTGAAACACCAGATGACGACACTTGAGACGACTTATGGCCACCGCCCGCCCCGCCAACGGATACCGCACTTACATAAGTGCAAACATGGCTTAATCATCTCAAAGGCAGCAGCAGTTCAATTGATTAGGCCAAGCTGCAGTTGCAGTTGCAGCCGACGCAGCAGCAGCAGCAGCAGCAGCAGCAGATGGTATTGAGCTGCATTTATTGGCGCCGGCGTTGACACTTGGACTTTTGCACACATTTTTTAGCATCATTAGAGCCACAACAACAACAGCAGCAACAGCAACGAGAGCTAAGATTTCATTTAATTGATCAACAGCAAGAAAACTTGTTAGCTGACCAGCTTGACCAGCAGCAAAGGCAGCGCCCGCCCCGCCACTGATTGGCCTTGAAAAAACGGTACGCAGAAATGCGCTTAATACGAAAAATCAATATCGAAAACACACACACACACACACATACTCACACACCCAGTTGCTGGCTAGGCGGCAAAAAAAAAAAAGTTGTTCGCTCACAAAAAACTAAAAAAAAAGATGAAAATAAAAACCTGATCAAAATCGAATTCATACTAACTGACAGCAAAAAGTAAATTTAAAATCAAATGAAACAGCTACACCAAAGCGCTAATAAAACATAAATTTTAAATACATACACATACACACATATGTGTATATAAATAAATAAAAACACGATCTTAAGCAAATAAATATTGCACATATATATATATATTTATCGGAAAGCCCCGGGCGTGTCTAAATTAACTGATAGTCAGATTCCAGTAATCAATAAGAGTAAAAAAATGTGTATGTATATACATATCTGTATCTCTACTCATTTATATATATCATAAATGTTTGTTTTAGTTTCTTAATGAATCAATTAATAAAAATTAAATGTGCAAATTTTAATATCAAATAATGATACGAAATTCGTTTTAGGCAAACAAAAGGCAGCTAATACATGTTGCAAATTGAGGAAAATAAATAACGCAAATAACTAAAATAAATTGGAATGAGGAAAAAGTGAGACAATAAAATAAGTGCATAAAAATAAATGAATAAAAATAATAACTACATAAAAAAAACTGTTGAAAAATAAATGCAATTTTGAGCAAAATATATGATTGAATAAAAGTCAAAAGTCATATATAAAAAAAAAATTAAAAAAAAAAATTAATTAGTAACTCAAAAAAACAAACAAATAAATATATATATATATATATATTTTTTTTTTTATTAAAAAAATATTGAAAATATAATAAAAAATATATACATATATATAAAATAATAAAAAATTCAAAACTAAGATATACATAAAAAAATGAACATTGAGTTCACTAGCCAAAACTAATTTAAAAAGTAAGAAATAAAATACAATAAATATACATAGATAATCGGATATACATATACATATATTCATTTGATAATACCTGTATTGTCACTTTGTCTTATACATTGATTACAATCAACGCCTACAAATTAAGCCGCGTATTCATCAAGACTTCCTCACTTCCTCAGCTTTGCTTTTATTTATATTTTTTATATTTATTTATTTGTTAGCTGAAACTCGATTTATTTTTTTATTTTTGATATTTTTTTTTTTTTTTTTGCTGGCTGTTAACATTTTGGAGCTTGTCAGCTTGAAAGGCCGTTCAAAACTAATAATTCATTAGGCTGCCATTAAACGCAGCCACATCAGGCATCAATCGCTGACTTAAATGCCATTAACAAAAGGCAGCAAAGACAGCTGCAAATCGGCTACCGATGCGAGCGAGCGAGTGATTCGCTGACCAACAGCATTTTCGATCCGCCGGACAATGAAGCATTAACATATATCAGCTATTCGTACATGTATGTTGTACATACATATATATATATATATATATATATTCGAATATTCGGTACAAGGGCAACAAACAACGAGCAGAAGTTCAGTTATCTGTGCAGATGCTCATCTGCTCATCAGGTGCATATATTTATAGTATATATTTGTATATATATATATATATATATATATAGATTTGATTAACATTACCTTGCTCAATTTGCTACGGTAACAGCCCATCGAAGGTGCTTTGATTGATCGCCTTGATTGAGCGCTCCTTGTCCAACAAACGTTGGAAACAAAACAGCAATAATGCCAAATTATCAAATATCAAAATTAATACTCATGCGAATTTGGCCAAGTGCCGAGTGCCGAGTGCCAAGTGAAGTGGCGATTAGGCTGCCTCAGCGATAGATGATCAAACATATTGTTGCCGTTATAATATTCTATGGGGTATTACAATGTGTTGAGCTATAATGACATATGGAGGACGCCTTTCAACAATCAAGTTCATGTTTGAAATCTGAAGAGTTTGAATATATATCGACGACTTTAAAAGTTATCGATTATTGGAATTATCTATGTCTAGGCTTCATGTAATGTATTTACTATATATTATAGCATATTAAGATCTATTTAAATATCTTAAGCCTTCTATGCATATATATCTCCGCCTGTCATCTGTTAACAAGAGCTCATTAAGATTAAACCTCTGGCTAAGAAAATTTAACTTTACACTAATCTATATGTAAAATCTATTAATAAGCTTACATTATTTACGATATATTCTTTTATACAGTATATAAAACAATAAAAAACACGCATACATAAGAATAAAATCTTATTGTTGTAGATCTTTTGGGTATAGAATATTTGAATTTTTGCTCAACTGCCAGCATAATCTGCTCTAGACTAATATAAATAAATATATTTGCACCCATAATTTGCTATTCAGATATTTATAACAATTTGATCGGCTATCTTGGTTTGTTAGTGAACCGGTTGGCATCCCTGTTTTCAAATGCTAGCCGAGTTCAAGGCTCGCCACGTGGCGTATACGTGATGTGCCGGGCTGTTGGCCAAATGGCTAATAGCACACACATTGCGATTGCCTTTTCACACAATTAAGCATCAGTAACAGTCGCAGCAGCAACAGCAGCAGCAGCAGCAGCAGCAGCCGTAACTACAATTACAACATTAACTAACTGCCTTGTAATGTGGCAGCAATAAATTTTATGTAAATCGTTTTTGCTGTAAGCCATTTTTATTTTTATTGCGGCTAAAGAAGAAAACGGTGCATGGTTAAACAATGCAAATGAATTGCATACAACATGATGTGCAAGCTCACACACACACGAAGATATATACACATACACAGTCATACACATGCGAAGCGAGTTCGTTGAGTTGGTTTGGCTTAAAGATTTTCCAAGAATGCGCCAGCCGAGCAGCTGCAGAAGCGGGTGGCTCTGCTATGCCAGTCAAGTGTCTTTGCTCGCACACACTCTCACGCTCACACACACGTACACTCACACACTATTATAACAACAACAACGGGCAACAAGTTTTTGTCGCTGGCACTTTGAAAATTTATCGATTGCAGCCACACGCTGCTCACAATTGCAACTTTGTATTCATGAATAAAATATTTGCCACATCTCACATAATTGTTTTTAATAAGTTTCTATTTAAGCAAGCTATAAATAAGCTGCGGAACGTAATCGATAAGTAGTAATTTATAAGAGTATACGAAATTGTATTTTATAATTTAATGTGAATAAAAATAAACAATAATAAAAACAAGTAAGAAGGCTCTAGTCGAGACTGCTCGACTAGGAGATACCCTGAACCCTCTAAGCTGATATTCTAATCATTCTGCATTTTTATGAACACATACATACACATGCATCCACACGCACGCACAAGCCTGCGCTCTGCTAACTGCGCAGTAAGCAGCGACTGCGCTTGGGCTGCGCTGCTTTGTGGGCAATATTATGAGAATTTATTTGTTGAATAATTTCTTTTGTAGACATAAGATCTTAATGAATTTTAGAGTGTAATTATATGATGAATATGTGTGTACATTCCAAAGCACAAGTCTCTAGTACTTGAAATGCGTTTTTTACGAATTGGGGTAAAAGGGGGCGTGGTATCCAAAATCTGTAAATTACAAAATCTTTGTATCGATTAACTTTATATACAACGCAAATTTGAAGACTCCAGGTCTAAAAGTGTTCAAATTAGGCTGAAAAAACAATACCGATTTTTCGATTATTCTCGATAAAAAGTTATCGGACGATTTATCGAAAAATAAAGCAAACTCGTACTGCGTATGGTCACACGAGTATGCATGCCAAATTTCGCTCTCTGCTCTTATAACTTCTGAGATCGACGCACTCATACGGACGGACGGACGGACGGACGGACGGACGGACGACGACAGACGGACAGGGCTATATCGACTCAGCTCGTCGCGCTGATCAAGAATATATATACTTTGTGGGGTCTGCCATCCTTCTGCCCGTTACATACTTTTTCACAAAACCATTATACCCTGATTTCCCATTTTCAATGGGTTCAGGGTATAAAAATATTTTATATGCATATGAATATACAACTGTATAACGGCATTAACAGCTATTTTAGATGTGTATGAAATACAAGTATATGAACGTGGATTTTATACAGCAAAATTATTAATAATTTTTAATAATAATCATTTTTTAATAATTTTTAATAGTATATTTATAGATATACATTTTTGTTGTCATTTCATTTAATTTCAATTTAAAAATATATTTGACATTCAAAAGCTTCAACCAGTTGTTGTGTGGTCTCTGATGTATCACAATAATATCCTCCTACAATAAACAATTTCCGATTCATATCTAAAAAGCCGTCAGCTTAAGCCGATTTAAGTATCGAGCAATACTTTGACAATTCCAATTGCCAGTTTCAAATGAGAAAATAAAAACTGGAATTTTAATCAGATCAGCAATTCCAATTGGCGTCCAATAAGCAGATAATTTCAGCTCATTTATACTAGAATTAAATGCTATTTAAAAACATGAAAGCACTTCCAGGAACATTTCTTGACATTTGTTTGCTTGCTAATAGCCACAAAACTGAAAATAACATGTTTGACAAAAGAAATACAGATAAAAAATCCTCCACAAACTGATAAATTGTTGACAAAACAAAAATTAAGCAAGCAGTCGAGCATTACCGACTGCATAATACTTATTCACTTAACGTGCCCGATTGATATGGCAGCTCTAGAAGATATAGTTTAAACCTATTTTCCTTGACCTCCCAATGGGCGTAGCTATAATTTTTTATTTTGGAATGCTAAACAGAGCATGTATTTCAAATATCAAGTCTGTAGCACTTCAAGAAGCATATCTGACTTACCGGAAACTAGCCACGCCCCTAGTGGACAGATCGAAAAAATCATGACAATTTAATTCGTATACAAGAATATATCAGAATTTCAATTCTCTAGCTTCAAGTCGGGCAATGTCAAAAACCAATATACTCATTGCACTTTGACGAGTGAGCATTAAAAACTGAAACAGTAAAGCTGTCTGTCTCGTCTGGTAGCTAAAGCTTCGATCTATTGTGTTTGCATTCTTGAGTGAATGGCGAAGCTTAAGCCAAATGCAGTTGGCAAGTGGCTAGAGAGTTTGCTGTCAAATTAAGGCCAATGCTTTCTCGTATCAAAAACGGAATTGCTGGCCTCGTCAGCTGGCGCTGCTGGTGCTGGCCGCTGCCATTTGCGATTAGGCATTGAATATGTTAATAGCAGGCAGCACAGCGCTGAGCACCGCCATCGATACATCATTAAGCGTGACAAGAATTGCATAACGCATGCCCAGCCAGTCAAATGTGGAGCAGCACTTTATGTAAGCGCGCTGCAAATGCAGCTGCGCTAACTGGAGCAGAGGAAGATCGTACCTACCAGGTTGAGCAGGGCCAAGGAAAGTGTTGCGATGTTGCCCGTAACGTAAGTAACACAATTTTGATGGCAGCTGCTGCAGAGTTGTTTTTTTTCTTAGTTTTGCTTTTTGTTTATTTTGATTTGAATCGCATTTGCATTTGGTGTAAACAGCGTGCGATCTGCTGATATTTAACACAATTACGTTTTATTACATAAATCAACTTTTTGCTTGTGATTTCTTTTATTTATAACTATAATTTTTGCACTGGAAAAACTATTTGCTGTTGTTTCATCGACAATTGTTGTTGGCGTTATTTCGCCACCAAGCAACAACAACAACAACAACAATAACAATAATAATAGTAACAATTTTTTTTTTATTATAAAAATATTGCTCTTTCTTCACACGCACAGCAGCAGCAGCAGCAGAAGAAGGCGAAAAGCAATACCAATACCAAGCCAAACAAGAGCAATTTAATGCTCAAAGCTCACACAGATATAAACGCACACACACACACTGGCACAGATGCAGAGCGGGCGATTGAGCGCGCGCGCGTATCCGTCAGATACAAAATTCGTTATAAGACAAAGCAACAACCGTTCGCTAGCGCGCACGTCGCACGAATAAAATGCGAAGACCAGAAAACGCAAAGTCAAGCCAAACACTTGACGAAATTCAACTTTAGCTTTGGCTTTGCAAAGACATACACACACACACACACACACAACACATACGACACAAAGACACCGACACAAAGACACACAAAACAATATGTTTCAAAAATATTTATAATTTCTTTGCTTGGCTCGAAACGAACTTGTTGTTATTGCTATTGTTGGCCAAATGCATTTGTAACTCAACTCGACACGAATTTGGCACTTGGCTAGCTAGCGATTCGCGTCTGAAAACGTTGGCAAAGTCTGCGCTCAACTGGTTCGTCGGCCGTCGCTCAAATTGGTTTTATATGCACGCGCTCAGCTGAGGCTCGATTCGGACTCGGATTCAGATTCGGATTCGGATTCGGATTCGCTTACAGCTTCCCCAGTTGCCGTCAGTTGGCCATCTGCAACTTAAACTATGTGTCTTCGGCTTTAGCACGAGCGCGACAAAGAAAACCAAAAAAAGACCAAAATTGAGGTAGGTTTGGAGCGCCGTGAATGAATCTGCAGACGGCGCTGCCAACTCGACTCGATTTGCACATCAAAATAGAGCGCAAAAACAAATCAAGCGCAGACCTCAAATCTCATTCATAAAGTTGAGATTGCAAGCTGCATAAGCCGCTGCACTTCAGAAAAATTATGGTTAGTTGATAAAAAGAAAACTGAACAAGTTTTTGGCTGAAAATATTGCTTAAGCTTATTATTTAAAGAATCGTTATCTTTTCTTATTCATTAGATTCCGCATCAGTTTAGCGAACATAAAATTAGCTAGTTTGATTTGATTGTGACGTATTTTCAGCTAATGCCCTCCTCCTCGATTCTCAAAAATTCAAGTGAGGGCTAGAGGTTTTCATGTTGTGTATTTTACGTAAACTTCATATGTAAACTACGTAAGTTACGTAAACTACGCAAACTACGTAAGCTACGTAAAGTACTCTAGTTACGTAATTACGTAAACTGCGCGAGTTACGTAAAGTACGTAAACTGCGTAAGTTACGTAAGCTGCGTAAGTTATGTAAACTACGTAAATAACGTAAACTACGTAAGTTACGTAAGCTGCGTAAGTTATGTAAACTACGTAAATTACGTAAACTACGTAAGTTACGTAAGCTGCGTAAGTTACGTAAGCTGCGTAAGTTATGTAAGCTACGTAAATTACGTAAACTACGTAAGCTACGTAATCTACTCGTAAGTTACGTAAACTACGTAAACTACGTAATCTACTCAAGTTACGTAAACTACGTAAATTACGTAAATTACGTAAACTACGTAAGCTACGTAAACTACGTAAGCTACTCAAGTTACGTAATTACGTAAACTACGTAAGTTATGTAAACTACGTAAGTTATGTAAACTACGTACATTACGTAAACTACGTAAGTTATGTAAACTACGTAAATTACGTAAACTACGTAAGTTACGTAAGCTACTTAAGCTCCGTAGCATTACGTTAGCTACTTAGCATTACTTAAAATACGTATGTTACGTATTCTACGTAAACTACGTGTGATATATCTTTTACGTATACTAGCGGTGTTTTGTGTTTTACGTAAACAAAGTATGTAAATATGTTTCATATGGTATATATGCTACGTATGCTACTTATTTTATTCAAAGTATCGTATCGTTAATATCAATAATATCCATTGTATTAAACGTATCAAACTTATATAAAGTAATATCATGTTTGTAACGCGTGGAGCATATGAAATGTAAATACGTCAGCACAGCCGATTCATGAGGGGTTTTTTATTTAGGCTTACCAATTTCTATAAAATACCCTGATAAACCACTTTCAATATGGTTTGGGGCATAAAGTATATGTCTCACCTACTTGTTTAGTGCCGCTGTCCAGTTTTGAGCTTCGATCAGAACTTACCGCGCTTGTTTAATTAACATAATTAAATATAAATACGAGCAGAGGCACCACAACAGCAAATATAACAATTTGCATAAAAACAACTTTTTAATTTTATTATAAAATCAGAAATCAAATGTTGCTGTTAAATTCGAGATTTGTTGTTAAGCGCTTGTTGAAATTGCTCAAATCGACATTAGGTTCATCATCAAACACGTCCGATTGTTGAAGAATCCGTTTGTTCTGTTTGTTTTTGTTTTCGGTTTTTTCCCCTCCCTCTCTATCTCTCTCCCTCCTCTCTTCGCCAACTCTATGAGAATTGAATACTGGGCTGTGACTGGAACTGAATCGGCTGTCCATCCGTTTGCTCGCCCGCTCAACTGGTTGCTGAATCTCAGGCTAGTCATAAGATCTGGTCATTTGAATGCCAAAGGCATTCGCTTTTGCTCTTTTCACATTTGGCTAAGATATTTTGTGTAGCACTAAAAAGCAATTTATGATGAGAGCCTCACTGCCAGAAATTAAAAATTTATGACCATAGATGATGGCGAGAGAGACCAACAGCAATAATAACAACAGCAACAGCAACAGCAGCAACTGCAACAACAACAACCGCAGTAGCCATTGGCTTCGCAAAACTTAAATGTCAAACTAATTTAAACAAGACGCTCCATAAAAACTGGATTAATTAAGGTGGCAGCCGCTGTTGTCGTTTGCTGACGTGTTGCGATTGATAGCAAAAGCCCAAGCTGAAACTAAAAGCCAACACATAACTCATACACACACACACACACACACACACACACACACATAGAGTTAATGAAGGGTAGCTGTCTGTCTGGGGTCTATTGATAGAGTTATGATAGATTGGCCAATTGACTGGATTGTCTGATTGTGCGATTGTTCGTTTGTCTGCAGTAAATTAACACGCTTAATTCGAATACGACAATTGCTTATATAATTTATGCAAATATCTATTTTAATTAATAGGGCGTATGCGCAATCTCTTTTCTTGTTATTACACTTATTTCAATTAACTTCGAGTACCTCAGCTAGAGAGCTCTAGTGCTCTCTCGCTCTAGCAAAAGGAAAGGTGTTGACCTTGTCGCACACGCAGCGAAACAGACAGGCAGACAGACACGCACACTCACACACTTACATAGCTGGGCGTCGCACTTGTTTACCTTCCAAAAAAAAAGAGCAGAAAACAAGTAAGTGTGCTCTAGGCGAGACTGCTCGACTGGGAGATGCCCTGAACCCTAAAAAGAGCTCATATTCCAATCTACATAGATGTCTAAGCGGACTCAGCTCGTCCGACTGCTCTTCTTGATATATATATGTATACTTTATAGCGCTTGCCACGTCTGCCTGTTGCATACCCTTTCACAAAACCATTAGACCCTGATTTCCATTTCTCGATGGTATAAAAATTCCAATTGCATTTGGCTGAAATGAAGAGCCCTTCACACAGAATTGAAATGCTTGAGCAAAAGTGAAAGCCAACCGTCAGCTGTTGCTCTATCTCTCTCTGCCTCGCACTCCCTCTCCCTCTCCCTCTCCCTCTCTTCAATTCCTGCTAATTTATGCCTGCACATTTCAAGTTCAAGGGCATTTTTTCTTGTGATTCGCTTAAAGCTTTTGGCATTTACTTTCATAAATCCATATATTTATATAAATATGGATATATGTATATATATTCGTCTCATATGTCAGCTGATTGTTGTTGTTGTTGCAACACACACGAAATATGTCCATAATTACGCGCTTGTTAATCGATTTTTAAGTTGTTCCCCCTCAATCTTGCGGTTATACAACAACAACAACAACAATAACAAGAAAAAAACGATTTTTTAACACCTTGCGGACAATGGAAATCGCTTTTGTTGTTGCTATGATTATGAATGTTGTTGTTGTTGGTTTTGTTGCAGTTGTTGCTGTTACAGTTGTTTATAGCATTGGCATTTTGGGGCGCGCACTCGTAAAATGTATTCAAACAAAACGAAAAAAAAAAAAAAAAAAAAAAAAGTTTTAAGCATATGCCGTTCAAATCGATATCGAAATCGATCGGAAAGTCTATAAAAATATCAAGTTTTTTGAATGCAGCAAAGTATTTTGTATATATATATATATATATATTTTTTAAGCCGTTGCCAAGCCACAAACACACACGTGCATATATACTACATATACACATATATATGTATATTTATACTAACTGCATGCTAGTATCTAGAGCATGAAATTCAACTAGACTTGGACTGGACGTGGTAGCAAGTGTTGGCTAGTTGGCTGGTTGATTGGCCAAGCGACTTAAGCCTATAAAAAATAACAATTGGCTAAGCCAGAGCTAAATATATTAAAAAAAAAAAAAAAAAAAACTAAAAATACAATATATATAAAGTTGTATATATTTATAGGCTAAGTAATACCCTACCCAGATATATGCCCCCTACATCATAGTTACGTAATAGATAAACCTGTGAGAAATGTTCTTAGCTCAAGAATGTTAACTTTTTGAATTTCAAAGTTAAAATAATGAGCTTATAGTCGCTTAAATAATTACAGGGTATACGTTGTTGTTCACTCTTAAGCAGCTTTAATATCTACCAAATCAATATTAATTGGGCACACCCTGCCGCCTCATTTGTCTATAATTACAGGGTATATACTAACAAAATTGGCGAATGTAATTGTCTGCAGCGTGGCTAAGTAAGCAATAACTGTAATCCAATAATCCATTTTGCAGGGTTTTTGTGGCGTTTTGTAGTACAATTTCAAGAATTTCAAGTTCTTGAAATTCTTGAAATAAAATATATATATTTTTATAATAATATATATATACTTTATTAAATAATTTGAAAATATTTGTTAAAACTCCTTTTTTAATAAATTTTATATTGTTCACTATATTGTTTCCTCAAACTATTAATTTTTTTTTTTAATTTTAAAATATTTTTTAATGATATAGAACTGTGTTTACTCTTATAAAACATTAATAAAAACAAAAACAAAAAAAAAAAATTTTTTTTTTTTTGGCCAAGTTCTTAGTGGTCTTAAAGCTTAAGGAATAACAACTTCAAATAAGTTATTAATGCTACACTGTCATTAAGCTTTCTATATATGTAATCTTAGCTATTACCCAAATTTGTCTTCATTTAACTAAAAAATATGAGAGCTTGTTTAGCTGCAGCATTTTTTATTAATCTTTTTTAATGCGATATTCATGTAAAAACTTTGCAATTCGCTGCTTTCAAATGCAGTAGAATTCATTGTTGTTGTTTCTTCTTGTTGATGTTTGTTGTTGTTGGTGTTAAAGTTTTCAAACAATGCCAATTGGATTTGCTTTCAGGTCCGCACAACTGCAACTGCAGCAGCAGCAGCAGCTTCAAGCCAATTACTCAATTCGCATTTGCAGCCAATTGCAGTTTAAAGTTGAAGTTGAAGTTGCATTTGCGAAGTGATTGGCGCTGCCACCGCCCCAACTCTGCCACGCCCCGCCCTCCATTGCCTCTCCACAGCACAAATTACTCGAGTAAGACTAATTTTGATCATATAGATACACACACACACACATACAGATATATATATATATATAAGTACGTACATTCAACTGCAGCTCACGTGCAGACATGTCTATAGCTTAGGCTGGCTGCCGCTAGAGGGCGCCGCTGCTTGTCAGCAGCTTCGTCGCCTGCATCGCGTTCGTTGCTTAAGTCTTTCGTTTCGCTCGACACTAAATTGTTGCACTAAAGTGTTTGCTGCTGTTGCTGTTGCTTTTGTTGTTGTTTGTCGCTTGTCGAGTTTGTTTTGGTTTTTTTTTTTTTTAGTATTGGGTTTTGGGTTTTGCTTTGCTAGTTGGGTCAGGTTGCAGATTCGAAAGTGGGTCAATTTATTACTGCAATGCATTTTTTTTTTTTTGTCTTTTTGGTTCACTCTCAGTTGCTCAGCTTTGTAGGCCATTTTTTTTCTCTTTGCTGCTGTTTGTATGCTGTCTGAAAATTAATTAACAGGTGGGCGTGGCTTGTGTGGAGCTGTCAATTTGCCTACAAATTAAATCACATTTGTCTCATTTTGTTTAGCTTAGGCTGAACTTTAATGACTCGGGTCGAAGGTCAAAGCAAGAGGAAAATGAAATAACCAATATGTGGGCAGATGTGATGAGCTGAGCTGCACAACGGCTTACATAAGCCGTGAAGGCAGATGCAATAGCTGAACTGCAACCGTTGGAAAAGGCAAAGTTTGAATGCCGGAGCTATAAAATACGAATGGCCAACTGTTTGGCCATTAGGCTGAGACATCGCGACTGTTATTTCGGCTCTATTTTGGCTAATGTCTTTCGGTTTTTCGGGTTTATGTGTGAGAAAACTTTGAGCCGACAAAACGCATTGGCCATTGAGCGTTTTTTATGTCTGCCGATTGCAAATAAACCAAAGCACAGTCGCGTTGCCATTGTGGGAGTTGCTGCAGCTGAATCGGCAGCTTCGCTCGTTAATCTTCGCATCGGCTGCAACTGAATTAACTAAATGCATTTTATTGTTGCTAAAAAAATAACGAACTGCACTGCTTGCCGAAAGCAGTGCTAAGCATCCATATAGCAGTCAACAAATGCGCGTGTGACGAGCAGCGCGTACTATTCTGTTTAGGTTGGCAGCTCCTTATTGCACTGCTTTGCAGTGCTAGTCAAACTCGACAAAGTGCTCATTGATACAACACCGATCCGCATTTGCAAAGAAATACGTTAGGTTTTGAACTCTCATTATCTACGTAAGCAATGTTGAAAAAAAATTATTTATTTTCAGTTATTTATGGTGTCTTAAACAGTAATCAGGCACAGACATACCCAGCAATTCCTCTTAATTCAATAATCGTCATCACAAAAATACATTTGTTTATTTCACTTTATCTACAAAACAGACAAATCGCCAGCCGTTTGTTTCTATATATTCCTAGCTTTGCCGCTTGGCTGACGACGACAATTATCTCGGTAATCCAATGCTCTCTGCTGAGCTCAACCAAAACCAGAAAAAATAGCATTTGGTTTTCTATTCCCAATCAAAACAGCAATATAATCAAATATCGTTAAAGTGCTTTTATTGACAATGACATTTATATATGTATGTATAAATAAATAAATAAACATTATTCTAGTGTGTAAACAGTTACAGTTAGCGTCGCTCCAAATATCGACAGTTGGGCTGCGAATGGGAAAAAAGTAGAAGACAAGATTAGAACGCCATGGCGTTCGTTTCGCATACATACATATGTATATACTTACGTACGTAGACACATGTTTGCCGTTCTTTATCAATACATATGCATACGTACATTTGCGGTTCTCTTATCCACATTTTATTATATCCTTCTCTTTCTGCTCGTCGTCACAGTTATCAGGTCGATGTTTCGCTATTACGGTAATCGGCAGTTCATTTTTATATGTGCTCTCTGCTGTTTGACCCCTTGCTACACCTAACCTCTCATAGGCTATGTCTGATCTTATATCAAATGCACAGACAAAGCCTAGTAGAGGCTAGATTTATAAGGAAATGCACCGCAAAAAAAAAAATTAATAAAACAAATTATAACGACTTTGCTCTCAATGCTTTCCATGTTGTTTCCGTTTTCCTCTTCTCGGTCTCGAATATTGGCTAAATGTTAGCGTGGGCCGAGCTGAGCAACAGTAAATAAACCACATTCGCCGCTTTCTTCTGGTTTGATTTTCGTTCGCGTTTCAGTTTATTAAGTTGTTGCTTCGTGCTTTGCGTACACTCGTTACATGTATTTCAGCTTTTTATTTTTCTTGTTAAATATAAATTAAAAGTCACGGGCCAACGAGCTCATTTCACTCATTGCTTTCATTACTTTCACTTTTCTCGCATTTTCGTCAAGTAGCGAATTAATTGCAAATACAAAATATAACGCCAAATACAGCGGCGAAAATTTCATGCGAACGAACCGAGTGCCAATTCGCGAATGATCAAACGCAAAGAGACTGTAGAAGAGCGAATGAAATAAGTATGCGCCCAGGAAACGTCAAACTAGAATAGCAGCAATAAATTTATATGTGGATATTTATACATGTGTATGCGTGTGTGTTTGTGTTTAAATGTACGTATTTATGCGGCCTGTTACTGTGACTGCATTTTAAAGTTCAAGTTCAATGTGACGCTCGCTGCTGCTCAATCTCCCGCTGATTGCGACGCATTAGAATTCTTGCTCTGCTCTCCAATAGTCGCTCGTCGCACACACCCACACAAACGTCATGACAAAGTGCACGTACATCTACGCGAATCGATCCGATCTTCGTCGTCGTGTCGTTTCGTTTCGTTTCGGCTTTTTTTCTAGTCGCTTTCTATTTTGCAAAGCGCGCTGCTGGCACGAAGTTGTAACTTGTTGCTCTCTCGTTGCCGCTGGAAGCTCTCAACTTTCAGGTACCAGCACTCTCATACGTCATAGACAAAACTAACGCTAGTTTCTCTCCGCTGTCATTATTGTTCGCTCTGGTGATGTAGTTGTTATTGCTGTGGAGGCAGAAGTAATCCATGTCAGTAGAACACGAACACTTTCGATTTTTTCTGTTTGCGCGTCGCGTGGCGGCTGATGGGCGTGCGCCTATTTTTTTTTGTACTTTTTTGTATTTTCTCTTTTTTTATCGTGTGCTTTAGTGCACTGAATCGAATTGGATTAACAAATTATTTTTTTCGCATGTATCGTTCACTCTATTGAGGCAACGCCTTTTTTCACAAGAATTTGTTTAATATGTGCACTTTTTCATAATAAACAGCTCTCGACTTCAACGACGATCATGACACTTGAACAGTTTTGGTTTTAATAAACTCGAGTACGAAGCGAGTTTAAGCTTTTATACTCTCCACTGGCGTCGACGTTTAATGGCGGCGCACGCAGCGTTGCAGAAAAAAGTTGAATTCCGCATGCGTGTGTTTATGTGTGTGTACATATATGTTTGTCTCCGTGTGTGTGCGCGATCGCTGCTTTCGTATATGCTTCATTTTATTATTTTGTTGACTTTTTATATTCGAATTCTTGGCCAGCGAAATACATACAGAAACGAAACGACGACGGAATGAACATTTTGCATCTTTCGATCGTCGTTTATATTGGCAATGGCGATGGCTCTGCCGGCGTCGCGACTGCGTCGCTGTCGCTGTTGCTGCTGCTACTGCTGCTGCACACACGCACACAGTCGCACACATATTAATATGAGTTACTTGAGCATCATTTTGTTTTGTATTTCGGCTTGCCGTTTTTCACTTCGCTTTTTTTCTGCCAATTGTTTTGCTTCATTTTTTGGGGCGATTTCACACACACATACACACTCATAAGCATTGATATCTGTTCTTTCTGCAGCCTGCGTCGCCCACTCTCCCAGCCGTAGGCCCCGTTGCCAGACGTGTCGTTGTCGCTTCTGCTACTCTTCTCTTTTCTTCTCTTTCTCTTTTTCTCTTGCTGTGAATATTGTTTGCTGCGGTTATTTTGTTCTGGTTGCTGTTGCTGTTATTTTTGCTTTGCATGGGTGTTGTCGCTGACTTTTTCTGAGGGCGCAAATTAAGTTCGACTCATTAAACCGGTCGACTCTTAAGCCAGCATCTGAAACTTAAGCGAAAAGCTGTAGTTCATCAAGGAACAAACACCAACAATAAGAACTTTCCTGCTGTTTTGCTCAGTCGCCAAGTTATTGACCGACTTAGCTGTAACTTGAGCATATGAAACTTAATTCGCTTTGGGCATTGGAGAGAATAATCAACCAGCAAGGCGCCAGATGACATCCCAACTCTCCGCTACTTCACTTGCTGGAACTGTAACGGTATATTGGGCAATGTAACTGTTTTTCAAGCTTGTATGAAGAAGTAGGTAAAATAGCTTATGATATTACATATTTACATGTACTTGAGCTTATATTCTGTATTATTATTTATGTATGTACATATATGCTAAAAACGTTGATAAATCAACTTGAACTCTATGCACGCGCTGCATTTGATTAAGCACCATGTACACACATACATACATAAATATGTAAATGGTTGCACAGAAACAAATTTATATGCATGTGTGTATGAATGGTTGTTTGTATCAGTTGTCGTTCATGTTTTATTTTTGCTGTAGATCGAATGCAGTGAACTCAACAACGACTTTGCGCTTGTTTCTTTCAAAATAAATATAATATACATACGTATGTACATTATTTAAAAGATGAATGTCATGCTTGCCCGAAGACGAGATATGCTGTACAAAATTTTATCTAGTTTAAATTTTAAAAAATTGAATAAAGTTTTCTATCCTCTTGCATTCAATTACTTAGCTTTATTACATTTACTTTTACTGTAACTGCAGAGTATATAAAAATAATAAATAGTAAAAAAAGTGGCTTTGACAAAATCAAAAGAAATTCTTTGTTTTCGCTGAGTTCAACCTGTGTAGAATAAGCAACACAATGTAGCAGAGTCTACAACAAAGTCTCCCGTGGTCGTCGATCTTCATCTACTTTTCCATCTATTGTTGACGCTTTCAATCGGGGCGCAAATTGCTGTAAATGAAAAAGAAACAAAACCAAAAACCAACCAAATTGCAGTCGAAAAGCACCGAACATCAATTTTGGATGAAGAGCTTGCATTGAGTTCATTGGCACCAAATGTATAGCTCCATGTAGAATTTATTTATCACTTGAAATATTTTGCTAACAAATTGCAGTCAATGACATTACTCGCCATACAAATGCATACACACACAGGCGCAAGTTTGGCAACGGATGTGCTGCGCCTGTATGCGTGGGCAGGAGATGGAGCAGCGACAGAGTGGAAAAGAGCAAGAGGAGAGAAACACACAGAGAGTGAGCTGAGAGAGAGACAGAGCGGACAACAGGTCACGCAAGCGTGCTAAAGTTTATTCATCTCGCCCAAAATGCGCAGCAGTTTACAAAAAATCGACGGCAAGTCTAAATTTTTGAGGCGAAATCAATGGATTGAATGATGATGAGGAAGGAGCGAGACGGGGCGATATGTGCAAAGAGAAGTTTGCGCCGAAGCTCCTGCTCAGACACACTTGTGCAAAGAACAGACAACAACAACAACAACAACAGCAACAAAAAGCTGCAAGTGTGGGCACCACAAAATCAGGAGGAGAAGGAAATCAGGAGGAGAGCCGACAACAGCAACAACAAAATTGTTTAATTATAAATTGTAGAAAAGCAAAATAGTCAAGCGAAATGAGTGAGCGGGCGAGCGAGATAGATAGCGAGGTGAGTGCGAGATGAAGATACGTTTTTGTTGAAGGACACACACGGTCTTTAAAAGTGAGTAATGCACTAGAGGTTATTGACTCCGTCTCCGTCTCATGTTGTTGTTGTTGCCGGGTTTTTTCGCTTGTTTTTTGCACTGCCCGCTGCCCACATATACATATGTACATGCAAGTGTGTGCGTGTGTGTTTGTAGAATCTTTTGTTATGCGTTTTTATTTTTTGGCGTTGTCGTTGCTCGATAGCTGCCTCCTCTCTTCGCTCGCTCTTTCCTACTGCCGCGCCCTCTCCCTCTTTCTCTACCTCATGCTCGCTCGTTCATTCTTTCTCTCTGTTTGTGTGTGTGAAGTCAAAGTGATTAAACTTTATGCGCAATTTATTTTGCATTCACAATCAGTACAACAACAATAACAACAACAATTTATTGTTTAATTTTAACTTAACAAATAATTGCTGTAACAGGTTCGAGTTAACAGCACGTATACGTAATTTTATGAGTCCAAATAGCTCAGCATGCCATTTGCCTTTGACATTTTGACAAAGTAAAGAGGATGCACAGATTAAGCTAAGATATTTAAGTATATTGTGCTTATCGTAGATCTTATTGCCTATTAAACTCTATTTCATGTAGTGTGCTAGCTTCTGCCCTGAAAGCTCTGTTAACTGTTTTGCCTCATTCTATCTGTTCTTTGCTCATCTCATCTTTAACCAAAGTTTGTTGTTATCTTGGACTGCAATTTAGTATTTTAATGAGAGTTTAAGCAGCCTTCGTTCATTAGGATTAAATTTGCTTTCTAATCTACATATGTCTATCCCTCCTTCGGTAAGCTTTTCTTTGATCTGCCTAACCTCACATTGCACTAATCTTAATCTATTTTTCGTTATTTCATATCTTAAGCTGCTTAAGCATTAAAATTCACGCGACTGCAAGATGACACAACTTTTAGGAATTTGACTGGCTTTCCGGTTTGGGCGTGTTGCATGCTGCAACTGTGGCGCGTCGCACGCGGCAGCAACATGTGTCCAGATGCGGGTGTTAAAAACATTTGCGGCGAAAAGGATGCCAGAGCTCTGTGGTTGCAATTGCGGTTAAAGTTGACAAGCAGCAGACGCCACACACAGCAAATTTGCAACAGTCGCCATGCAGATGTGTGTATGTATGTATGTATATTTGTATGTGTGTGTGTGCATGTCTGAATGCTTGCGTGTGTGTGTCTCCGAACAGATGCGCACAATATGGTGCATTAATTTTAGCTCCTGCCGGACGACACAAACCAGGGACACAGTTGCAGTTGTTGCTGCAGTTGTCAGTGTTGCTGCTGCTGCTGCTGCTGTCGCTGCTGCTGTTGTTGTCGTTGTTAATCGTCTTGACAGGCAGCCGCTTCAGCTTCGTGCGTGCCACTCCAAGGCCAGCGCAATATTTTACACTGCAAACGTCGCCTCGATCGTCAGTCGGCGACTTCCGTCAGCGTCTCCTCCACCAATCGCATCAGGTCGGCTGTGGCTACTGTGGCTGCTGTTGCTGTTGCTGCCTCCAACACAACCGCCCTCACACTACTGCCAGCACCTCCTTAACCACTACCACCTCCACCCACTCGACTGCCAGTGCGTCATATAGCGATCACTGGGCGCATGGAGCGGGCGGCATGGAACGTGAAACGTGGAACTTTGAACGGGAATGGCAATGGGAACGTACATATTTTAGCTGGCGCTGCATTTTCATGGCTGGCGTTTCAGTTTTCGCCTTGGCGAATGTGTGCTCAAAGAATACCCTGTGTGCATTTTTAAGTGGGTATATTAGTGGCTCAATATACGGCGTAAAAATAGGTAAATTTCGATACATGCAGTACTTTATAGCAGTGGGATTTATGTGGTTGTGTTTTAATGTATAGAAAGAAGCAGAATTTTCCTTGTTCCATACGGCGCTTCTTTAAATAACATTGTAAAGTACAGGGTGTCTTCTATTCTTTTACTCGCGATCGCTTTTTATGGCTGTGTGTTTTACCAACGCCAATACTCCCGCCCACACCCGCGACACCAAGTGGAATCAGGCAAGCTGCTCAGATATCGAGTCATTTCATTATAATTATGGATTTGATCGATTTACCCTGATTCATGCGAGCTCCAGACTTAGCAATACTTTCTATCGATACGACAGACAGATACAAATAAAAGACGACGGGGAGTATTAAGTAACGGTACATAAATATGAAGTGTCAATTACTGGAGTAGACTAAGCACATAGAAACCTAAAGAAAGTTCCATTTCGCTCTAGAGTTTAGATTAGAGCAGTAGTATAGAAAAAAGGAAAAGGCTGACAGGAAAATTCCCTGGACTGTGAAACACAAGTCAAGATTGCTTAAATGTATTTTACATAGAATAATATATAGTAATAAAGTATTCTGAAAAATGGATATCCAAGCTAATTTCTTTGTCACGCAGTGAGTAACTTAGCGAGTCCTATCAAATTTCCATCTCATGTATGCCTTTATTTGACAGCTATTATTTTTTGGGCACCCTGGGCGTTATTTTAACGGGAATAGTTTTCACGGTGCCCACGATACGTGATAAGTTTCGTAAACAATATACGAAATTTCGCGCGAAATCGATGAACTATACCCCCATAACATATATGCAGGATGATAGGCTAACGGCAGTATCGAAAAAGCGCTTGCTCATGGTGCGTCGCAAAACTTTAGTTTTAGACATGGACGAGACACTGATATCGTCTGTGATACTGTATCGGGTGAAATCGTTGCTAGAAGCAGGACCCGAAGACAATCGGCGTTACAAGGCGAAGTCAAAAATCGTACACTCAACGCCATATGATTACAGCTTCTATATACCCATGTCGGAGGCCAGCGTCTATGTTTATAAGCGACCCTACGTCGATCTGTTTTTGGATCGGGTCTCGAAGTGGTATAATCTGGTAGTCTTTACCGCTGCCTCGGAGGCTTATGCCTCTCAAGTGCTGGACTTTCTAGATGCTGGTCGAAATATACTGAAGCGTCGAATGTTTCGACAGCATTGCATCGAGATCTGCGGGATTCGGGCGAAGTTTGTGTCGCTGGCTCGCAGGGATCTGGCCAGTGTGCTGCTCCTCGACGATTGCCCAGTGGAGAACAGCTTCAATGTTGGCAATGCTGTGAACATTAAAAGCTATCGCATCGGTTCGCAGGACAATCAACTGCTCTGCATGCTGCCCTTTCTGGATGCCCTGCGATTCACTCGCGATGTTCGCTCTGTCCTGGGTCGCACCACTCGCTTCGATTGCCTCGCCACTTGCTTGGAATCGCATATCTACGAAGCTGAGGAAGATGAAGACGATATACATCATTCATTCTAATCAGGTTAGAGGGCTATTGATTGGTCGCTAATCTTTTGCTTTATTTCTTAAGAACTTGAAATTTCTAAGAGCTTTCGATATTTTGTAGTCCTAGATAGGTATAGATCTCTTCTTTATCGATATTGTTATATAGTCCATATAGTTCCGTCATCATATCTACTCTTTGCCTTCTCTATGATCTATTGTATATCCATTAATATATTTGTATTTATTTACAGTAACTTCTTTTCATTCTCTGTTTTCCTCTGTCTTTGCCTTGACTCCCTTTAGTTCATATCCGAATCTTAGTCATTCGTTGATTTCTTTTCGCAAGGCCTCGATTATTAGTCACTTTACAAGTGAATCACTAGCGACATCGACAATGACAGCGACAGCGACTTTGCCTTGGGCCAGGTTGCTGCCCTGTGAGCCAACTATATTAATCTGGCTCGATTCATGAACTCGAACAGCAGTGCGATGTGGTTGAATGAATGTGTACGACCAAAAGGTAATCTGAAGCAGAAAGATTTAGGGAATGTAAATGGGCAATTGTGATCTAGATGTAATTTTATGCCAAAATTTGCTATAACTGCATTTGCTACCTTGTTAAGAATCGATACATATGTATACTGATAAGTCCCTAGATATCTTCAAGAGAGATTTGAAGCTGCTCCTATACTCATCGATAATTATCGATTAGTCACTCTTTATAAGCAAGGAAGTCGTACGAGCAGCACGTATGAAAATCAATTGTAGACGATCCCAACTCCTCCCTGCCTAAGGTAGAGCACCTCCACCACATACAGGGTATACAAATAGGCAAATCGATTACTGTGGCTGTCGGGTGAATGTGGAATCATTTAACGCTTTATATATATTTCATATATTGAATTTGGCTGGTAAGATGTTCCTTTGTTAAGCTTCTTGACCAGGCAGTCAGGGCGCGGCAATTAAGTCACCATCAGCAACAGCCCCAACAGCAGCCACACAGCAAGCGGCACCACCAACAGCAACAAGAACAACAACAGCAAGTGGAGGGGTGCGCGAATTTCCAGCGAAGATCATTATTGTCTCGCCGCGGATGCTGGCGGCATCCAAAAAAAAAAAAAAAAAAAAAAAATGAAGCAAGCAAACAAGTTAATGAACCAGCAGCAAACGTCGCGGATCCTTGAACTCGAGTCGAATCGAGTCGTCCAACTAGTTTGGCTTTGGCTTTTCGAACCAGAACCAAATCTGTGGCATGAATTCTCTGGAAATGAACGAAATTTCATTTCGAAAACAACAGAAAAAAATGAGTTCAACAGCATTCCGGTCTGGTCTGGTCTGGTCTGCTGCTCCTTCTGTCTGGAGGTGGATCGACTGCAACGGCAACTGCGCAGCTTAACTTTCCATTATCCTTGAGGCTGGAGTCATTGCCCCCGTCTCGCATTACACAATTGCAGAAGAGTAGTGGGACGGGCGGGCATAGGGCGGCATCTCGAATTCGCCGCTCGAGTTACACAGAAGCAGGCGAACTCCAGTGGCCTACTTCCACTTCAATGGGAATTAATGGAATTAATGAAACAAAGGCTAGCCAGGCAGCCAGCGGGCAACCCCATCTCGAAGCTATTGCGATCCTGTGACCAGGCCAAAGACAAAGAAACTCATTTTGTCGCTTGCAAAAATTAATACAAAACAAATTCGAATGAGAGCTGACGGCAAACACACATGCATGCGTGTGTGTGTGTAGAATTTTATTTTTATAACTGACCTCGAACTTTTGTGCAATGTGATTGAACTGCTGCGATATCTGCATGTGTGCTTATGAGTGAGTGAGTGTGTGTGTGTGTGTGTGTGCTGCAACTGCGCTCCCGCTCCCTGCTGCTACTCTCTACACTCTTTCTCTCCACTCTTCCTGCTCTGAGAGCATTTGCATGCAGACTGCATACGCGAGTTGGTCGGAAAGTGGCAGCGCTAATGTCGCCGCTTGAGCTCGAGCTTGAGCTTGGGATAGGAATCGAAATCGAAATCGGGATCTGGATGCGATGTGACCGTTGACAAACAATATGGAAATTCAGAGAGGAGGGGGAATCGCAAATGGCAAATGGCAAATGATGGCTGATGGCTAGCGAGTGCATTGCCATAGCGCGAGAGGAATGAGGAGGGGAGGGGGAATTGCAGTCGACAACAACGTTAAATGCATAATAAATGTGCGTTTCAAGAGGCCTGCGAATATAACATGCGTGCTGCGACTCGGTTGCACTTTCAATGAGCTAAAACAAAAAAAAAAAAAAAAAACTATATAATAAAATGCAGTAAGAGGCGATAAGAACATTGGCGCAAGAGAGTTTGGAGAGGAAACAGGCGGAAAGTCCACTGCATGGCGATGACAAGAGAGAGCCAGAGTGTGAGTGAATGATAGGGATGGGATTATTGATGGGGAAGGGTTATAGAGCCAGCTATAAATGCGGGTAGCCCACTGCGTTCCGATGCGATAGTGCCCTCGGCCACGCCCACTTCAAAACAACACAAACAAATTTCATTGACTATTGTAACGCACTCAACGATTGCTGCTGCTGCTGCTTCTGTGCTGACGTCGATAAAACGCCATTCAATTGAAGCACTGAAAGAGAAACAGTAAGAGAGAAAGCAGACGGTACAGTTCTTTATCAGGAATACATTCACTGCTCGCCGCCCGCTGGTCGCTGTCTCCGCTGCTGTGCAAATATTTAATTTAGTTTTTGTTTTGCTTCATTTTTTATCAAGAAATAAAAAAAAAGCAGAGAAGAAAGACAGCAAAACAAACAAGCATAGAGTAAGAAGAAAAAAGCAGTGGCGGGTAGATCAAGCAATGGGGTTAACTTATGGACCCCTTGTCAAATCGACATGTACGCCCCTGACCAAAAGCAAGCACGAAATTGCTTAGCTGACGTCATTTGTCCTTGAATTCGTTTGCCGCAAAGCAGAATTCGCAAAATTCAATGCACTTGGCAGACCCAAAAAAAAAAAAAAAAAAGAACCCGAAAAACACAAAATAAAACAAAGCAAACCAAAGCGAAGCTGAGATAAGAGCATTGAGAGAGTGAAAGCGACTGAGCTTAGTGCCCATCGTATATGTATGTATGTTTGAGGCAATAATTCAACTGTACAAACTTTATGCATTAAGTGGAAATTAAATAAACAATTAAACAGATTATATGCTATAATGCATACTCACATATGCATGTATGTGTTAATTAAACCAAAATGTTTCTTTTCATTTAAATGCGAATTTAAATTGAAATTTATTTCAAACAAATTGTAGCCGTTAGCTTTTGAGCATAAAGCTGTTAAAAGCTGAAAGCTATGGAACTCACGCCTGCCTAGGCCCGCTTTCAAATATAGCATTTATTGCTATTGGTTTGGCATTCCACAAATTGATTTTATTTAGATTTTAAATTACAGAAAAATTTGCATTGTGAAAGTAGCGCATTCTTTTTGGGTTGGTAAGCAGCGAATTTCATTTAAAAGCTTTGATAAATTACTATCGATAGTGGATACGATATTTGACGTGTTGCAATTGCTTATTTATCGAGAATGAGTACAAGAACTATAACAACTCACGATTGTTGAAACATTTTGTTAAAGCAATAATTTAAGCAAAAATTGCAACTGTAACAAACGTAGAAGATGACGTGCCGCCGACGCATTTAGCAGTCCCAAAGGAGTTCAAAGCGAGCACTCAAGCGTTTGCCATATTAATATATTTGCACAAATTAAACGGCCAGCTAAAGTTGTTAATGTTTTGCCAGGTGAGCTTAACAACCACTTCTTGTGTGCGTATGCGTAAGTGCTATATTGATAGTGTTACACAGGCATTGTTCTAAACTCTCCTCTGTCTATATTTAAATTGTCAAGTGTGAGCTAGATACGGAAGAGAAGTGCATTCATGCATTGCCACACGTTTATTAATACAGCTCGCTGGCGGAGAGGAAGAGAGAGAGAGTAGAGACAACTTTGAGGAGTTTTCTTATCAGCCGTTTATCAGTCGTTATTGCTGGCCTTGGGAGTTTGCCCTTTGCCCGTATGAACTCCAAACAAATGACACATAAAATATCGATATCGATATACTACATACATACATATACATATAAAAAGAGTATATATGTATATGTAGTATATATATGTAGTTGCTTTTGTAATCTTTACGTTTGTTTGCTGCGGTCTTATGCGGGTCGTATCATTAAATTTGATATGCTAATCTCCCTGTTTATCTACTTATATACTTATATACTCTGTTTAATTTGCTGTCACAGATAATCAACGCAAATTGATAAGAAGCCACAATTAAAGTCAAGAGAAGATGGGCCAAACACTGTCCGAACCGGTGACCGCCAAGGAATCATCCTACTGCCAGAATCAAAAGTATCGCGTTGGCAGTAGCTGTATGCAGGGATGGCGCATCAACATGGAGGATTCCCATACACATATACTGGCCCTGCCCGATGATCCCTCGGCAGCATTCTTTGCCGTCTACGACGGCCATGGTGGGGCCACAGTAGCCCAGTATGCGGGCAAGCATTTACACAAATTTGTGCTGAAGCGGCCGGAGTATAATGAGAATGATATTGAAAAGGCACTAAAGCAGGTGAGTAACGCTATTTAAATAAATTATCTAGAACAAATAAAAAAAAAAAATAAAAAACCGTTACAACACAACAACACAAATCAAATCTTAACTTCATATTTGCGCTCTCAACGAAATGTTGTAAGCTTTATGAGATCGAGCTGGTCGCTCTCACTTTCGGGACTTTAAATTTGCGCTCTCTAAAGGGCGTAAGCCTAATGCCTAATGCGATAGAGCGAGATGGCCGTTCTCGCACTCAGTTTCGCTCTTCTATTAACGGGACACTTCACGTAATATTTTTAGCTTACTTTCAATTGTGCTCAGTGCACCCTTTATTCATATTTTCAAATTCTGCCTGTTCTTCTTTGTGCAGGGTATTCAAACGTTTAGCATTTAGAAAATTACGTTTTACTCCATGCACACACACCTGCACATGTGTGTTTTGTCTAGCTAGTAAAAGGCAAACAAAAAATGTGTTTTGCTATTGAGAAAGTTTATTGTAGCTGTTTCATCTATTTGTATAATTAGTGCGCAACGCATTTAACGACTGTTCCCCATGTGATTCATATACATCTCTGAACTTGCAGGGTTTCTTGGACATTGACTATGAGATGCTACACAATGAATCATGGGGCGAGCAAATGGCTGGATCCACAGCTGTCGTTGT